TTCCACACAATTCAAAATCTCTTGATCAAATGCCTTGCTATCGGATATAGTTTATTGTCATACCTAGGGATTTGTAAATTAAATACCTAAAATGAGAATACTGGAGAATATATGGATTAAAGAGTTCTTTCAGTTTGGTTGTTTGGTTGATTTTGAATAGTGGCATATCAACACCTCTATGATATACCGAAATATAAATAATTTCATGGTTTTTCTATTTCATAGTTTCAACTAAATATATTTTGAATACAATTGTATGCTTTCAACTAGAGATAAAATATATTGTTGGTCATTTTAGTAAAAAATGTATTGATTGCCATTTTACTATAAGAATGTAAGGTTGGTCATTTTAGTATAAAAATGTATATTTGGCCATTGTATTATAAAAAGTATTGTTGGTCATTTTACTATAAATATACATTGTTGGTCATTTTGCTATAAAAATGTATTGTTGGTCATTTTACTATAAAAATGTATTATTGGTTATTTTACAATAAAAATATATTGATTGCCATTTTACTATAAGAAGGTAAGGTTAGTCATTTTAGTATAAAAATGTATTGTTGGCCATTTTACTATAAATATACATTGTAGGTCATTTTATTATAAAAATGTATTATTGGTCATTTTAGTATAAAAATGTATTGTTAGTTATTTTACTATAAAAAAGTATTGTTGGTTATTTTACTATAAGAATGTAAGGTTGGTCACTTTACTATAAAAATCTTTTGTTGGTCATTTTACTATAAATATGTATTGTTGGTCATTTTACTATAAAATATATTGTTGGTTATTTTACTATAAAAATGTATTATTGGTCATTTTAGTATAAAAAATGCATTGTTGCTCATTTTACTATAAAAATGTATTGTTGGTCATTTTAGTATAAAAATGTATTATTGGTCATTTTACTATAAAAATGTATTGTCGGTCATTTTGCTATAAAAATGCATTGTTGGTCATTTTAGTATAAAAATATATTGTTGGTTATTTTACTATGAGAAAGTATTTTTATACATTTATAGTGTTTTGTTTTTGTTTGGGTTTTCACTATTTACCCATAACTGGGGCCCTAACAGGTGCTACCACCCCGGGTTAGGGTAGACCTGTGAACAACATTAATTAGGAGGCAGGTCCACCCTCCTCAAAACCTCCTGATCAGAAGACTTGCTGCCCGATTTAGTTTATCATCACACCCAAGACTAATTGTCAATGGAAAATATGATATATGTTATTCTGCTTTCATAGTTGAATACATGGTAGATGATACTTAAATCTTTTACATATACATGTTTGTGTGGGCATAATTACTAGAGGTGGTGATATGTGCGTTTTATGCTGTAGTTTTGTTGACATTATATTTTGAAATACAGTTTGATTTCTTTAAGAAATTGTAGGATATCATATTGGTTAACGGATTAGGATATTATATGGATTAATGTCATAAAAGAGTTCTTTCATGTTGGCTATTTTTGTTTAGTGAAATATCAACCTCTATTGGTTATTTAATGCCAAAGTCTAAATAATTTGAATACAATTTTATGGTTTAACTTAAATATATATTGAACGCAGTTGTATGCCTTCAGCTACGGATAAAACGTATTGTTGATCATTTTGTTTTAAACATGTATTTTTTGTAATTTTTTATATAAAAATGTATTGCTGGTAATTTTATTATTAAAATTTATTTTTATACTTTCATAGTGTTTTGTTTGGTGGGTGGGATTTACTATATGCACATAGACGTGACCCTAATAGATTTTGCCATCGCTGATCAGGGTGGGCCTAGGGATAACAGTAATTAAAAGGTGGTTCCACACTCCTCAAAACTGTCAATCTCCCAGTCAGAGGCTTTGCTGCCAGATGTAGTTTAACGTCAAACCCAGAATAGTGATCAGATAGAGAGAATGAAAAGTGGACTGACCAAAAATTTTTTTTTGTTAAAAACAAAATAATAATGAACAGTCTTAATATTTATCGTTTTGCCAAATTGGATGATTTCTGGAGAAACACCAACATGTAGAGATGATAACGCTCTCGCAATAATTACAATGCAAGCCTTTAACCTTTCCATCTTTGACATTTTATTAAACATTAAAAAAAAAAAGCCAATATATCGGTTCAGTATAGGAGCAACACCTGAATCAAATCTAGGAGCAACTTGCGGATTCCAATCTTAAATTTTCCACAGAGGTGCCAGCCTCATGTTGAAAATAATCAAATTTTGTTTGGGAAAGCCTTCCACAGCTGGGAAGAGCAGTCTTCTGTGAAGCGAGTTGATAGTGCTTGGTGAGGGTTAAAAAGGTTTTTTCTAAATGCCTGATTTTTATCGAAGGATTAATGGAAGAAGAGAAAAAAAGAGAAAAAAGAGGATGAAAGAAAGAAAGAAAGAAAGAAAAAGGAAAGAAAGAAAAAAGAAAGAAAAAGGAAGTTTTATGTTAGAAAGAAAGAAGAGCAAAGGAGAAAAAAAGTTAAGGAAATGATGAAGAAAAAAGAAAGAAAAAGAAAGAAAATGAAGTTTTATGGTAGAAAGAAGGAAAAAGAAAAAGAAAAAGAAAGAAAAAGAAAAGGAAATAATAAAGAAAGAAAAAGAAAGAAAAAAGAAGTTTTAATGGTAGAAAGAAGGAAAAGAAAAAGAAAGAAAAAGAAAAAGAAAAGTAAATAATAAAGAAAGAAAAAGAAAGAAAAAAGAAAGAAAAAGAAAGAAAAAAGAAAGAAACAGAAAAAGAAAGAAAAAAGAAAGAAAAAGAAAGAAAAAAGAAGTTTTATGGTAGAAAGAAGGAAAAGAAAAAGAGAAAGAAAGAAAAAGAAAAGGAAATAATAAAGAAAGAAAAAGAGAGAAAAAGAAAAAAAGAAAGAAAAAAGAAAAAAGAAGTTTTATTATAGAAAGAAGGAAAAGAAAAAGTGAAAGAAAGAAAATGAAATGATAAAGAAAGAAAGAAAGAAAAAAGAAAGAAAAAGAAAGAAAAAGGAATTTTTATGACAGAAAGGAGGAAAAGAAAAGGATAAAGAAAGAAAAATATAGGAAATGATAAAGAATGAAAGAAAAAAGAAAAAGAAGGAAAGCTGAAAATGAACAACAAATAGAAAAAGGGAAAGAAAGAAAGAAAGAAAGAAAGAAAGAAAAAGACTGTGAAAGAAACAAACAAACAAAGAAAAGAGTAAACAAAAAAAAGAAAAAGAAAGATTTATGACAGAAGGAAAGCACAAGAAAGAAAGAGAAAGAAAAAAGAATGAAAAATGAAGAGAAGCTGACTGATGCTAGACACTCCTGGGTAGCAACACACTGTGCCTTCTTAACTTCAACAGAAGTAACTACATTGAATCAATAGTTGCAGCTACTGTAAGGAAAGTTGGGTCACTGTGTCGTACCAGAAGATTTTTCTCGTCAGAATCCATTTTGCACATTTACAAAATTTGCCATTCACCGGGGCATTGAATACTGCTGCCATATCTGGTCTGGTGCTTCGTTTATTCATCTTGAGGTTCTTGACAAAATCCAAAAAAGGATCTGTAATATAACTGATCCTGCCTTGGCAACTCAACTTCAGTTATTTTCTCACTGATGCAACATGGCTTCTCTCTGGCTTTTCTACAAATATTTTCATGGCAACTGCTCCGATGAGTTTTTTTCCTTCTGGTATCCTGATTACATTAATTTAAGCCTGCTACTAGATTGGCATCTAGGTCCCACCCATTTATTGTTGAAATAGCTAAATGCAACTGCCATTTCTACTCCAACAGTTTCTTTTCTCACACTTCCCACCTGTGGAACTCCCTTCCATTTACTTGCTTCCCTGATAACTACAATCTCCAAAGATTATGTGAATAGAACTGTGTTCTATAAAATAGAAATTGTTAAAAGTCCCTGTTATACCAGTGGAATTTTCCAAAGATCTCTTCTCTCTGTTTATTCATGTCTGTCGATTAGGTAGATGCACCATTTTGTTTTCAAAGAGCATTTTCTACCTTATTCAATATAAGCATTACCTTCTCAAAGTTTTTTTTCTCCATTTTTTGAAGATTCTTTTGTAAATCTTTTGAGATCATTTTCATAGCCTGACGTGCTTTACCAATTGAGCCACAGAGGAGTGTTTTGGTTAGCAAGGTCGATTTTACTGTTTTTAAAAGTCATGGAGAATTTAAATCATTTAGAATTGTAGTTTAAAATCAGTAAAATTGCCATTGCTAACCGAAACACTCCTATGTGGATCAATTGGTAAAAGCACATCTGGCTATATGACAGTTCTGTATAGGATACAGGTTCGATTCCTGTTGGAGGATGCATATTTTCCATGAAAATTTCTTGGATATTCAGGCCGGTAAATGTCGTTAATACTGTTTATTATAAACAGAGCATTTACTTAAATATTTGTATCTATAAAAAGAATGTATAAACATAAAAAAAAACCCGATCCCGTTTATGCGGGGTCTACAAGGATTTTTGGCCGAGCCTACAGGCTTGGGAACCCCTGTATTAAATTCAGCCTTGTGCCACATGTGACTGCATATCGTTTCATTGATCAGTTCTTTTAAATCAATTATGTGGTGCTGTTTAATTTATATTACAATGAATCTTTCATACAAAAATTAAATTAGAAAAGTTAATGAGATAAAATATATATATATATATATATATATATATATATAGAGAGAGAGAGAGAGAGAGAGAGAGAGAGAAAGAAAGAAACATATAGTTTATCTTTTCATTGATCAAGGTATTCCTATAAGCTACAAACTACTTATCTTTTTCTTACATACTTCTACCTCTTTGGGCACTCCCCCCCCCACACTTCAAAAAAATAAAAAAAAATCATTTATTCTTTGATAGTAAGATGGAACCAGCTTTCTGTAATGCACACCAGAGAATTGCATTTTTGCATTTTCTACTTCCTCTCCTCCCCTGATAGTTACCTGTCTGTCAGCCTAGCAACAAACATGCACCGGCTGTCACATTACGGTAAACCTGTGTATCATCTCCATGAAGACATGTTATAGAT